TAGAGAAATTGTTTAAAATGCTAATAAGATGCTTTAGAAGGGAATTATTAAACCAGGCCAAATTGAAATCACATTTTTTTAAATGAGGAGAAAAGAAAAAGAAAAAAGAACTGTGCATTATTAATTGAGAAGTATTAACCAGTTCTTTTAATGTAAATGTTCAGTTAATTAGCATCTCTGCTAACCATCTTATGATTCAGTTAGGATATGTTAAACACAAGATTCTCTGCTCGTTAGGCATCTTATAAATGGTTTTCTCAAGCATTCCATTGGATGCATGGAACATCTTAGAGGAAGGATGGCTGTTATCAGCCTTGCATTCTGTACAGTAAAAATCTCAGTGCCTGGATTACTTCCAAATCTTTTTTAAGGTATTTGTTTCATCCGCAGGGTGGAAGACCATGATGATCTGGCCCCCCTCTTTGCACGCCACAATGATACTCTGAAGCAAACGTACGGAGAATACTTCCTTGCTGAACTGATAGAAGCGCAAGATGAAGAGAACATTGCTGTGGTTTGTGAGGTGAGTGATGCGGATAAGGAGCACATTATGCTGTGAACTGCTGCTCGGACTTTTTTAATGGTTGCTCTCTCTGCTGGGAGAATAGTAGCCTGGATTCATACCGCATGCATCCCTGGTCCAGTGTTGGGGGATGAGCATTAACAGTAATAAATAACCCGTTTCCATTGGGCAATATCTCACTTTACCATCATCCTATCATTAATGACATTTTGATAGCCTAAACCTAGTCTATGACCATTGGTGTTTGCTTGGCAAAAGATAAAAGCAGTAATTTCCCACTGAAGCTTGACAATAACTGGCTATCCCCCCCTCTTTGTTTTGTTAGCAAAAATGACACTTTGCTTGTGTTTGTTTACACCACGAGGTCTAGCCCAGTGGCAGCTCTGGATGCTGCCCATTGCATCTGTGGAAGAGAAATGGCCCCTGCAGGGGCAAGTGGAACCAAGTGTGCACCTCTGTCACCACCAGGGCTTTGCTCTGACTAGCGGCAGGGAACAACGGCTGTTTCAGTGCTGCAGAGCACTGAAACCGTTAAATTTCCCTCGAGGGTGGTTGCGGGGGCTAGTTCGGGCTCAGGCGTCTGTCAGGCAAGTCCATCCCAAAGGGCAGAAAGCAGAGAGAGGTCAGAAGCCAAGGCCGGCCAGCCGGCCGGTGTGGACACAGCAGCTGCACAGAGGATCTGGCCGGGGGAAGCAAGGCACGGCAATGAAGCGCTGCTGCAGTCCTCTCTGGCCCAGGGCTTCTCGGTTTGCCCTTTGAGAAATCCTCTTCGTGTGCAGGGCTCGACTCGTGAAGGACTCTTTCTCACGAGGAGCACTCCTGTGCAGATGGGCATCCCCTCTTCTGGTTAGCTTCCCGAAGCTGCAAAGGCATGCGGCTCCTTGCCTTGTGGGCCTAAGCCACGTGCCTGTTTGGTCTTGAGCACCACCTGGGCCCACAACTCCATGAGTCCAGAGCAGAAGGTGGGGGGTGTTCCCTGGCTCCACGGCAAGGCATAGGCGCTCTGGTGAACCCCAAATGTCATAGCAGCAGCCCATTGTACAGAAAGGCAAGCAGGCATGCGACCTAACTTTAACATCAGGAAAGGGGTTTTGCCGCAGGATTTGTTTGAGGACTCCTTTGAACTGCACAGGCTCTCAAGTGCTCCATAAAGCATGAACATCTCTGTCCCCATCCATACCTTGCACAGAAATTACATTTTCCTTTTCTTTTTCTGGAAAGTCTATTTAGGGTCTAAATAGATACTCAGCAGGTTTGGGACCTGAAACACAAACACACAAAGAAAAAAATAGCTAGATAGGAACCAGTTGATTAGATTTGCGCTCTGCCTTTCCACTAAGAAAATTGCATTCAAGGTAGCGTGCCCAAAGAATTTAGAAATAAAACAGGAACAAAACTAATACGTGAAAAGCACAACAACAATAAAAGCAACTGCTGACCAACTGACACCCAAAACCGAAGCAACACAAATGCAGATTTGGGGGGGCGGGGGGGAGGTTAGTGGGCCCAGCCCCCTCCTTTGTGCACCAATTCTCACAATTGTTGCTTTGGGTGGGTCGAGGGATGAGGCAGTATTTATCCACATGCAGGATTGATGGATCGGGGCCTGCCAGTTTCACATGTAGGTGCCATTTTCACGAACAATAATGTCAGTTTCTCACATGCTCAGTTGTCGTCTGCCCTGTATTGTTATCTGTGATCTTACTTTTTAAAGAAGCATTAATTCATGTGCTTTCCCCCCTAAAATCGCTGAGAACCGCATCGCTGCATTTAGAGGAGTGGGCGGTTGCAAGGACAGCTGCATCGGTGAATTAGGGTGCTTTGAGTAAAGACGTGGGCTGGCCACATTTCCCTTGCATCACCGTTCACTGCTAACAAAAATACTGGATTTTTCCTTGAGTGAATATCACTGTGAGACCAAAAATATGGCACTAGGAAGTCATGTCTTCAGGCAATGGAATTATCAGTTCAGATTTGGAACGTTTATTGTGAGCAGTGGAGCAATGCTGTTCTGTTTGTCAGTAGTTCCATTGGGGCTTTGGCCCATCTTCTTGGGTCAGTCTCAGAGGAATTCCAGGGTTGTGGTTGTTGTTGTTGCTGTTGAGTGCATGCTGAACTAAGCACACCCTATTGAGCACAATGGAGGTTTGAGAGGCAGTGGAAGACATGGTGCTTGTCATTGGAAAGCAGTCGCTGGCCAATTTCTCATGCTAGTTTTCAGTAGCAGCTGAGGCAAAGACAGATTTTGTTAAGGGAAATTATCCTTCTTTTAAACTTTCCTCGGGATGAGGTAAAGTGCAGGGAAGAAGGTTCGATGAGAGACTTTTTTCATGTTGAATGATTTGCCTGCTGCCAGGAAATTACTGCAACGATTTAACTATCACTCACTATAACTAGTAACAAATTGGCATAACTGATAAGGGGTTGCTACAGTTGCACAAAAAAGCAGGAAAATATCACAATGTGTTTAAGGCAAAAGGATCACTCTTTCTGAGGCAAGATAAATATTTATAAGATGAATAAATAGGTTTATTTATTTGAAATTCAGAGAATATTTTCCTGTCCGAAAGAGAAACACTGGCATGGATCATGTATAAAACCATTCTTTATTTAAATGGCATGTAGTTTGCTTACACTTTGATTTCAATGAACCGTTTAGCACAATAAAAACTTGTTTAAATTTTTATCTTATTAATATTGCATTTCTGTTTAGCGGCTATCTATCCAAGCCCAAGAAAATCCCTGTTAGTCCTTCATAGGGTCCCCAACACAGCTGTAAATTGGCAAAGCGCTGCCATGTGAGCATAGATGGATGTCAGCTTGCCCTGTAAAGAATGAAGCTGGCAACTTCGTTTTGCACATATGGCAGATGGATTGTTTAATCAGCTTCGGCTGAGCCTTCGGCCGAACATTACAGAGGAGCCAGGCAACTGCAAAGCTCGGGCTTTGTTCAGCTAAGTAAACAAATGATCAGATGAGGGGGAGAGCTATATGTGTTTTTATTTTTTTATTGAAGTGTGGATGACAGCTGGGTCAGTCCGGTTCTTTAGACCAAAGATTGGTTAGTACCACGAGGAGAACTTTCACCACTTGGAAGGCTATTTTTGTCTTAATGCTATCACACAATAGAGTTTATATGATGCTAAAACAAGTTTCCTCCCACCTTCCCCTGCACCTTGACTGCTCTATGTACCAGACTAAATGCAGTGCTGTGCTTAAAATCGTGTCAGATTTGTTAAAAAAAATAGCAGTCAAGCCAGGCACAATTTGCGTCGTGTTCCCTGCACACAGGGAGATTGGAAGGAATGCTTAAAAACCCTCCCTAGCATGTTTTGGTCCCAGCCAAAATCTGCCTCCCTCCCAGTCCTGGTTTATTTTTTAACTGAAATGATGGCACGCCCAGCTTGGCATTGCATGAGTTTGCATCCTAAACCGGCCCTGTTCATCTGAAAGTTGAATCACATTGCTTGTTAAGCAACTCTAAGCATATTTAGCACGGACTTATATTTCAGCAGGATGCTTAGAATTACATGCTAAACATCCATGCTCTGCTTATTGTACTATAATTCCAAGAAGATTCTGATGTTGGAGATACATATGACACATTTGTAGCAAATATGTAATTTTATTTGGCAAGTATAAACATGAATATTAAATTGGGTATTCCAGCATTCCTACATTAAATAACTGGGCAAAGGAATTAAAATCTCGGGATGGCTATAACTGGGAGGACTTGCATTATCATCAATGCACATTTATTTTATAGAGTAACCTAAGCAAAAAGTCTCTATCCAGACGGAGCTTATGGTCTGACTTGGCAAGAGAGAAAAGAGGGAAAGTGGGAATGAGTGTGGCCAGATGCAAGTCTTCTTCCAATTTCTTGACTGCAGTCTCCATTTGAATTGAAGACTGAGCCAAGATATGTAAAATCACCATTTCAATTTCTCGAAAATGATCGGGCTGCAATTCTGTGCACATTCAACTGGCAGCAATTCCTGTTGCACATACTGGGGCTGTTTTGTGTGGAAATGTGCAGTGGCACATTGTAAGTTTGGGACAAGTGAGAATATTTCACGTTGCACTAGCGAATATCCTGGAGGAAATTGTGCTGTACAAGTTCCATTGAAATGATCAGGAGCTGCCCAAGTGCTTCCTGGAAAAGCACGTGGAACTGATACACAAATCGGGTGGTTTTCTGCTTATTTGCATCACGCCGGTGGACAAACCAATCCACAGGTGGGGAGCACAATTAAAACAGTGGCTGCAGTCGCATTCCTCCCACTGAAAACTGCAATGGAATGGCTGTATTTGCTCCTTCAGACAGTTCCAGAACTAGGAACATTATTTCGAGCCGTGCTCAGCTGCAAAGCAGGGGCCGTAAATTTCATGGGTCACAGGCAGGCAGCTTCCTTAAAGAGACTTTTTATCTTTGCTTTGTAGAGCACATTGGTTTGAGGATGCCTTTGGGTGGCAAAATCAATTTGCAGCGTGTTTGTTCTAAAGGGGAAATCATCTTTTCTGAGCCGGGGGGGGGGGACACGTCCCCCCACCCACCCACAAATAAATATGCTCCCCTTCCTTTTAAAATAAATGAACAACTACAAGAGCATTCTGTGTAGAAAGTACCACTGCTCTGAGTCAATTTTAATGGTAATTTATTATGTGCTATTGTATTTCATTGTATTTTATCGTGTTGTAAGCCGCCCCGAGGTTTCGGCAAGGGGCGGCATAGAAATGTTATAATAATAATAATAATTATTATTATTATTCATTAATTGCATTTTTATACTGCCTTTACTGAGGCCAGTCTAGGTGATTTACCAAAAAAAAAAAAAGTCCAGAAAATAATAAAAGCATGATGGAACCTTAAAAGCAGCCTTAAAAATCACCATGGCAGTTGAAAAAGAATCGAGATAAAAGATGCGCCTTGATCCCCTTGAATTGTGAGTACCAGTTGCAACTCCAAAGGGAGCGCACTTCCCAGTCTGGATGCAACGCTGGAGAAACCCTTTCCCTGGAGTCCAGCAAGCAGGACTGAGGCGGCCTTCAGAAGAGCTGATCTTAATAGCCAAGCATGTTCGTGCTGAGATGGGCTGTCCATGGCTTTAAAGTCTGCAACCAACACCTTAAACTGGGCCTGGAAAACTGTGGGCCACTAATGCACGTCTAGTTGCCCTGTTTTGCGCCAGCTGAAGCAACTAGGAGTGTTCCAAGAGTGCATTGCAGTAGCCTAAGAGCATTACCCCAAGCCACCTCGCTCCAGAACAGGCACTGTTGTTCAGCCTCCCTTCCACCTGACGCTCCAGGGACAGTGTAGATTCCAGCAGCACTCCCAAGCTTTGTGCCTGCTCTTTCAGGGTGAGTTCAGTCCCAAGCAGAACAGGTTGAATCCCAGTCCCCAAGCCAGGCATCCTGCCTTTTCAGGGTTTCATCTCTGTGTAAGGCAGCTTTGTGTGTTCCTGTTTGGAAGACACTTCGAACAGGACAGACACACAGGGTTTGCATCAGGTTGCACTCTTCATTCTTATTTGTTTATTTCCATCCCACCTTTATTCCATCCCAGGAAACAAAGAGTAGGTGGATCAGTTTTCCTCTTCCTGGTTTTTTATTTGGCAGATAATTGTCCCTCTGTCATGTGGGATAGCCCAGAAAATCAGGTCGGGCAACCAGAGGTGTCTGTCTTGAGCTGCTGAGATTCCGTGGTTTTCAAACGCTGCCTGTTTTGCTGTCGCAGGACGGTGGCCTGGCAGTTGGCTTCATGAGCGTGTGCTCGGAGGTGAATATCCAGTTGCTGCACGAATGCTTTGAGCTGGGTCCATTCCATGGGCTCTGCAAGCCGCACCCAGATGACATTCTCCAGCCACCGCAAGTCATCAGCGACACAGGTGAAAATTCGGGTGCTTTTTTCGTGCACTTCCTAGATTTGGTTTTACTGTGTGCATATTTCATTGCTGTAAACTACGCTGAGCTTCTTTCTGAAGGAGGAAATGGGTTATGTGTCTTTAATGAAGCATTCGTATTAGCTTGGTGAGAAAACAATCCTTCAGCAGCCTGAAAAGACTGAGAATCTTGAGCCATAAAATGTAGCTAGTGGCTGGTTCACATATCATAACCAACTATGGGTAAAACAACCCCCAGTTAGTGGGGAGTGGCATCTACCTCCTGCTAACTCAGCTCTTCCAGTTCTTTTCTGCTTTGTAAACAACCCAGGAATGCCCTACACCAGTGGTGGCAAACCTACGGCACGTGTGCTGCAGCAGGCACACAGAGCCTCTCTGTTGGCACGTGAGCCCAGTCGCCCCAGCATCGCCCCAGCAGCCGAGTGTTGGATAACAGCGCACACAGGGGCCATGCGCATGCTCGGAAAGGAGTAGCGGCGCCAGGCAATGCCGTCACGAGCTGCGACTCATTAGCTGCGACTCACCCAAGCTTTTGCATGGCCAGCCAGTGCGCTGCCAAGGATATATATATATGTGTTTTCTTGGACTGGCTGTGAGTTGTTTTTTCTGAACTAAAACCTCAATATTCAGGTTTTATTGCAGTGTTGGCACTTTGCGATAAATAAGTGGGTTTTGGGTTGCAGTTTGGGCACTTGGTCTCTAAAAGGTTCGCCATCACTGCCCTACACCAAGAGTGGTTTGTTTGTATGTTGTGACAAACCCTGTCGAAGAAGCAACCTGGAGTCTGAACCCAACAACAAACTATGCTTAAGATCTGGAGATGCTTCTCCCTCAGCAAACCAAGATTGCAGTTCCATGTGTTACAATGAACAACCCAGGAAAAGGGCATTTCTGTTTTCATAAATAGCCAAGCAGCTCCCTTTCTAAAACATTACACTGCCAGAAAACAGTTTGACAGCCCCTTCACATTATGTGTAAAGAACCTTTTTTTTTTCTTCACACCTAAAGGAGTTTTCATATAACAGTTGCAAGTTGATTTGGGCACTTTAATTGACATAACAGGTTATTGGCATGCCTTTTCCCCTTGAAAATGCAATACTCAAAAATATTTTTGAAATCATGTTGATGTGATATATTTCTCAATAGTTACACTGATTTGGTTGCTGCTGTACATGTGAGATAGTGAAAATTCCTCAAATGCCCGACCTCTACATATTAGAGGGAGACTCATAATGGCAGACTCAAAAGTATATGTTGAGAACCCCTGCAGTTTGCTTTTCAAGGAAAAGCCTCTTTGGGACAAGCAAATTTAGCACAAAAACGAGCCAAATGAGTGTCAGCAAAAGAAGAATCCCAACAGTAGGGGGACTTGAGGAATGGTGCAGTAGGAAAATTGAAGACACGATTTGGGGTTTATGAACGTAACCAGGGGAGGAAAGCGCAGAAGCTGGGACATGGAAATGTGAGTGCTGGTTCTGCTTCCCCCAAAGTACAGTGTTCCAAGGTGACGGCCGCAGACTCTGAATCTGAATTGTAAAAACAGAGGAAGGGTCAAAATTCTTGGCTGAAATATTAAGGCTGACAAGCCCTGAGATGAGCCAAGCAGTTGGTGAGAAGCAGACCATGACTAGTTCAGGTGGCAACACTATTGAGCAGGCTGGGGTGGGGTGGGAGATATGATTTTAAAAGTCCAATCATCTGAAGTCCAATCCTCTTCCTGCCATCTGGTTCACAAGGGGTGGGTACCTCCCTGAGGGTGGAGCAAACTCTGTTTGGCTGAGGAGGGAGGAGATGGATTTCATTTGGAATAGCCTCCTCTGAGTGGTGTTTTCGCTCTCTCTCATTAGCTGGTTCATTAAGGAGACAGAGCGTCTCTTCTTAGTCTCATTTACAGTACGTCGGCTGTATTAACAGCCCCAGTGGCTGGCCTCCTTTACCCCAGTAACATCTGTAAGTCCAAGCCTTTCATCTTGATTGGCTTGGAAGGGCAAAGGAGTAGCCAGGACAGAAAGAGTGGCTCACACAGCCGAGAGTAGCGAGGACTTTGATATTACCTACAGTTCAGAGAGCAAACGTGGAATTCAGTGTAGGAAACTCAGTTCAACAGATTAGAAAATAAATTGCCGAATGCTGCTTTGATGTTCATTATCAACTCCGTTGTTGATGCCTTCATTCTCACTTTATTTTTTTCCTCCCACTGTTTAGTTGAAGTACCCAGCAGCCTAATTAGCCCAAACCAGTCTGCTGCTGATACATATACAAAGGTAAATTGGAAAAGAATTCACTGGACTGAAAATAAGATGTCCTTCCCGATGAACAGGTGACCACTTTTCAAAATGTGGAGGCCATCATGTAAACCAAAGATCAGGAAGCTGAGCACTGTGTTCTCTTTCAAAGAACCATACTGGGGCTGCTTGCCACATGTGGGAAGACCCCAGAGAAGTGGCTATGGTCAAAACTAAATTTTAGGAAGAGAGAGCTTTGGGCCTGCTGAGCACTTTTGGCAATTTGAGAAACTCTTCGGCACACCACCTCAAAATGGATTCCACAGGAAGTATGGCTATTATCTGGGGAGAAGTCACCTGCCCAAAAGACATGAGTACACGTCACTGGTGAGGTTTGAGCCTGTTCAGAGGCACCATCACAGTGCCAGCAGAAACCCGCTTCACAGGAGACGAAGACTTTCCCCCTCTCCCCAGTTCTGCTGGCCCATTCATTCCACACCCCTCCCCAAATCTCTTTATCCCACTCTGCTCCCAAACAATCCCAGCTGCCAGTAAGAAAATGTGATAACGCAAAGACATGGGATGGTTCAGACATCTCAGGAGCACCAGGAAAGCGGTGTGTGGGGGGTACGTTGGGGCCTGTGGGTGTAAACGGGATCTTAATTTCATTCTTGCTGGGTAAGAGAGGGCAGTCCTTATGCATAACCACACCATCCAGTAACAAAGCAACTTCACAGGGAAACACTATCATGAAACTGCTGAACTGCACCATATCAGAAAGTTCAGCTGCGTTCATTTGGGGCTGAATAGAGACAAGAGTTTCTTGTCCCATATTAATTTACCATATCAACATTCAAGATGTCTGTCACAGTTCTGCAGAATCATGCGGACGATCTCGGTTTCCAAGTCACCATCTGAATTATGCACTCTAAGAGATCAAAGATTCCAAAAAGAGTAAGACCCATTAGCTGGTTAATATGCTATCAGCCATATTTCTGAATATCACTGGGGCTGCAACTGGCAGAAAACAAGCTCACAGGGCTTTAGTAGGAAAACAAATGGAGGAAGACCCAGACACTTCACTGTTTATTTTAACAAATGCTCATTAAAAGGGAAAACAATGTATGCAGCAAAACCGTTAGAAATAACAGAGTTTGAGTGGAAAGTAATAGATTACAGTTCTTTTAAGACCTATGTGAAGAAGCTCAAGAGATGGAAATAGTGTTTTATAAAATAATGTTGAGATGCTAGATTGCACATATCACTGGAACTTTCCCTTCAAGATTGCCCTTTCCTTGGACATTATGAAAAGCACTTAGCAAGAAATGCCAAGGCTGAAAGCAATATTCAACCTAAACCTGGAGGAAGAAGGAGGGCTCAGTACAGAGTGTGAGGGAAAAGGCGAAGATGAGACAGACCATGAACATGAACAAAAAATATCTCACACACTGAATCTGAAGCAAAGTTTGCCAAAAAGCAAGTGATCCCATATATGGGTGACAGAGAAGATCGCACCTCTCAATGCATGCGTGATCTTCCTTCATCAAAATGTTTCATCAGAAAAGTTTTATTTCATTAAAATCAGGCTGTGAAACACTGAGAATTGAATTGAGTTGATACCTTGATGAAGCCTGTGCCCACATGAGCTACGAATGCTGACCCAAGTTTGTTGGCTTTGTTTTTTTGGCCAAATCCCAGAAACATACTTTTGTTCTAGCTTCTGCCAGCAGAAGCCTTCCAGATGCTTCAGCTTACAGCTCCCATCATCCTTCACAATTGGCTACTCTGCCTTACAGGCCAAAACATCTTGAGTGCTGGAATTTGCCCTGTTCTCAAGAATGCCCCACATCAGTGAGTCTTTATCTATGGGACTGTTGCTGGGGGCAATAGACATGCAGAGAAGGAGTTTGTCAGAGCTTTTCATGTGGCTGTTTTGTTCTTAATTCTGCAGAGTGCTAGCAATATTGGAAGCCTCTTTTCCCAGTTGTCAGATCCTAGTTCTATAATGTCTCCAAAAGGAAGTATTCAGAGTAGATCATCAAAGGTAAGGCCTTTGGCATTCATATTTTATAGACTCTGGTTTGCCTTGGCATCTTATTTTTGGAATGGCCAATCCCCCAAATTTAAGTCGGCACTCATTTGTAGGAGGGAGAGATTTTGCCAGTGATTTTTAAGAAACAGAAATATAGGGAATTGGTGGAAGAGACGGACTGCCTGCTTTCTGCTAGATTTCAGAGGAATAATTCTCGTGGACAGTGCCATTATAGTCCAGATTAAAATGGTGCAGGATAAGAAAGGCCATATATTTTAATCTCATCTGTCCTAGCTGTTGACTTTTGGAATTAATGACAGAGCCAACTTACTTAAATTGGCCCCATGATGAGAGATGTGATAGATTCAGGCATCACTCTCTTTGTGTAACAATATATTACTGTTCTGGAGTGATTCAACCCTATTGCTTCTTTTAGAGTTTTTACTAGTCAGGTCAATTTGTGTACACTTACTCTGAATTCTTAGCTGGTTAATTGTCCTCCCTTTCGTCTAAATTGAATCTGTTCTCTTCTGAAAGTTTCCCAACATTGCAAAAACCGATTTCCTGTTCATTCTTGAGGAAAATGTTTCCGTCATTCTTCCCTCTCTATTATTTTCCTACAATTTTAATCTCATTTTTAAAAACTGTTCAATCGAACATATTTATTCCAATTGCATTTCTGCCCAGCATCTAGCAATTCTCCAGAGACTGCTTCAAAATTCAGTGAATAAACAAACAAACATCTTTCCAGTGCCGTCTAGCTTTTCAAAATGGTATAATTTTCTGTGATTGCCTTTTCATTTCTGTTTTTAATCCCAGATGCATTTAGCTGTGGCACACTCAGACTTTCATGTGTTTGTCTGCCATAGCAAACGCATCCCCTTGCCACACGGAAGCCAGCTCAGTCGGGGCCTGTGAGGCCGGCAGCATGGACTCCTGGGTGAAGCCCTTTTTGGGTTTGCCTCGTATTTCTCCCGGTAGCCTTCGCATTTTTATTTACCCAGCTACTGTTTGCTGCCATGCATAACATGGAAGGACTCGTTCTCACTTTTCCCCTGGCACGTTTCCACCGTGCGTCCAGTAAATGTGGCGTGACGATGTAGCCCCAAAGCTGGTGCTCGGCACTTCAGGTTTTCCCAGTATGTTGTCCCTTCAGCTCATCCCTGCGTGCCAGCATTTGTTTGGCTACTTTCTTAATCCCCTTTTTATGTTGTTCCAGATTCCTCCGAAGGCTGCTTCCCCCCACTTTTTTTTTTAAAGATGGCCTTTTCTACTCAGCTTCATTATATGCTTTCCGCTCCAAATCTTGCTTTTTCATTTGCTCTCTTTCAGAAAGGTTCCCCCACCCCCTAGTAACTTTTTGGTAGCTAAAATCCACAGATGAGAGTTGGTCTCATACTTTCAGAAATAAATAAATCTGCCCAGTATGCCATTTATCCCAGCTGCAGCCCAAGCTCTGCCTGTTCAAATGTGCTTGATTTCTTCACATGTTTCTAATCTATAATATTCTTTTCACAGCAGCAATATTTGTTGTGTTACTGTACATACATTGTAATTTGTTTACTTGGGTTTTGCTGAAATCAGTGTATTTTATAGTAGTTTGATTATACTGGATTTGTTTTTGAATGTGGCCTTGAACATATGGGTAGATAATCAGATTAAATTCTGGAAACGACTGTCTTTCCTTCAAATGCAGTGCCAGTGTCTATGGTTGGAATCTTTTTTTCTTTATTAGCAAGGTTCTATATCCATTATAACTTAATTCTCTTTTACCATCTCCATTTACTTTTAAGTGATGATTTCCTGTTAATCTTTTCATTTCGTGCCACAATAATATAAATGATCTAATTTGTTGTAACACTCTCAATACTTCAGAGTAATCATTTTTCTTTTTTACTCTGTGTCTGACCTCTGAAGTGTTTTACATAATTCATTACCTGGTGAGTTTTTGCCAGGAATGCCAATATGCTTTAATATATCACTTTCTTAAAATATATTTAGGATCATCTGCTGAAAACCATTTATTTGAGGGGCTAGGAATAGGAGGAGGCCTTGCTACGTTGGTGAAATATCAGATAATGCCTCCATCAAGCTGGATATGGTTGGCTATTTTCCTGTATCATCTGCCCTTCTCAAGCTGGTTTTTTCCCCAGGAAGGAGCCAGTCTGTGCACTTTTGCTTCTGGAGGAGAGCATCTTTGGGGAAGGCAATGTCTGCAAATAAAATAGGCATCAGAACGGGGGTTAACCCACCTCTCAATCAGGGGATCATCACACAGAATTCATGTTTTGTTTAGCGTGCACCACATTTGCTTCCGTCAATGCGGCTGCCGCATGCACATTGTTCTTGCGCAAAAAACGCTTCGGCGCAGTGGAGCCATCTGGGCAGGGACGTCGAGGCAGGGTCCCCGCTTGGCAGAATGAGCAGCAAGGCCCCCAAATGCGGCAGGGTTGGCTCACCCCATTTTGGAAGCAGGTGAAGCAGTGCCCAGGGTCAGGGCTCAGAGGGTTGCGTTACCAGAACTTTTTTTTAATCGAGAGGGTGTGAATCCCATTGCTTCCGTGCTTTGCTGCAGTTCTGTCAGTAGCCGGGCGCAGGGCGGGGGGATACCTTTGGTGCGACCCACACACCTTTGCTCTTCACAATTTTTCACACGGCTATGGTAAAATGAGAGCAAATTTAGGGGGCGCTTGCTTTTCTCTTACAGAGAGAGGAAATCCTTGCTTATACTTCACTGGAGTTGCCATCAGGCAGCGAGAGAAGCATGCAAGAGAGCGAGAGAAGCATGCGAGAGAGCGAGAGAAGCATTTTGAAATCCACAGAGACCCTGTCCACCGCCAGTTTTGAGAGTGAGCCTTTCCGTGCCCAGTATAAAGGAGCTGCGAATGCTTTTTGTATTCAGCTGTTTTGTATTGCGGAGAAATACGAAGCAAGGCAAGTATAGCAAGAGTCTGGAGAGTTGGTTTCGCACCAAACTAAAAGCAGTAATTAAGCTGTTTTTTCGTATTCCCGGTCACTTTCATATTTATGATGTTATATATCTGAAGTATTTACAACCTGTCTGTCGATTTGTTGCAGGAAATGGGTAGGGTGGAAGGGAACTGGTGGGGGTGGGCACCCCCCTTTCATTCCACCCATGAGCTCCAGGATCCACTCTTCTAGTGACCATAGACATTAGCCTCCCTTAACGAACCACTTGCCTCCAATGCTTTTGATTCGTCCCTGTCTGTCTGTGCTCCAGTTTGTTCTTTGCTTCTCTCAGTTTTATATCACAGACAAAACAAACAAGGGAGAAGTAGGAGAAAAATCAAGACAATTTACTTGGCAGTAGGTTCACCAGTTGCTATATGGAGCAGTATACGAACAAGCTGTTTAGAGGCAGTTGCTTAAGAGAACAAACTTCTTAATGATACCTGCACACCCTAAACCCTCTTTGTCCCAAGCCACACCTGATGGGAAACAGCCAGTTCTGACCTTGTCAGGATATGTTACTTTTGGGGGAAAATAATTTCTCAGTAGGATTAAATCATGTCAAGCAAAACAGATTTTAAAATGTCATGATGTAGGTTATGTGCTATCAATATTGAGGGAAGGTATAAAAAAGACTAGGTCTGACTAGTGTGTTGCACTCTTCTGCAGTCAAGAAATAAAAATTTTGAATAACTGATAAGAAACAATGGAGTTGGAATAATAAAGAATAGTAAATTTCACAACAGCTGTGGGAGTAATCATAGCTAAGAAATGGAAAGTGAAATAAATCTATCAGTTGGGTGATTGGTATAGAGAAGTATGGAACATAGCTATTAATGGTAACTTGTGCTAGAGGGAGAAAAGGGTATATAAGGAAAAATAATTTAATGAGATTTGGGGTGTATGTATTGAATATGTACTAAAAGAAGAAAAGAAAGGATTGAAGGCTTCAGAAGGGTTACTGCAATTTTGGAAGGGGGAACATCTTGAAAGAATTTTTGATAGGGTTTCCAACATGTATCATATGGTCCCATTGATGGGGTGCACAATTTTTATGGTTTATTTTAATTGCAGGTATAATACTGTATGTTTTTATTCTAAGGTTTTTATTTTGTATTTTACATTATAAAATTAATTTAAAATTTTTAAAAGAAATAAAAATGCTCCTGAAAACTGCACAGTATGTCTTTGTAGTCAATGAATGCTGCGTGTCTTACTGGAGGAAATGGACAGGGAATGGGGTTAAAGTCAACACTACATGACTTTGTAAAAGCATTTGGTTTTATTTGCAGGTCACTGGACTTCTTGCACTTTGTTTTCAGCCTTTTTCCAGTAAGTATCTGCAGTATAGTCCCACTGTGTAAAACTTTGCACAATAATAAAGAGAAAACTGTTCAATACTGCATTTGTTCATACTGGCTTAGATTTGAAGATCAGGGCAACAGGAAGAATTCGCCGATTTGCTTGTTCCAGGGACTCAGCAGAGAATGTAACATTCTAGTCACCCATGCAGACCTCAGGCAGAGGAAGGGGGTAAAATTTTCGTTCTTTTCATTTTCAGTGGCCCGGCTGCCTTCCTTCCTTTAATGCCATCTCCCTGCCAGCATCCATTTCCTCTGCACTCTCCAGATCGTTCATGGAGGATACATCATCACTTGGAGGATGCCTGCAGAGTGATGATTTTAATACTTATATTCTGCTTGTCTATCCAAACCAGAAGCCTAGCGTAGAGAGCCAGTGTGGGGGAGTGGTCAAGAGCACAGGACTGGGGCTTGGGCGATCTGGATTCTAGTCTCCGTTCAACCATCAGTGCGTTCTTGTCCTTTATTTTGTAGGCCATCCTTTCTCATGTCTTAGAGTCATGTATGGTGTTTATGAACCAGTGTCACATGCGGTGTGTTCTTTCCAGGACAAAGATTTCTGCATCATCACGGTGCCCCACCTGGTGCCTGAATTTCATCTGATCCAGAACTTCGTACGAGTTGTTCCCTTTAATCATTCTACCCTGGACCATGAGCTGTATGTGTTTCACCGTTCTGGATTGCTCAAGTGAGTGATGCTTTTTTTATGATGGCAGCTCTCAAAGAATCATAGCTCAGTAAATTTTTTTAAAAAATGGGAAACCAGTTACTTCATCATTTTTGCATCTGCTGGGGGATGATAAATTCAGGCCAGAAAGTTTTCATCCAATGCATATTTTCAGAGAAGTTCTGCATGTCTTTGAACATGTAGATACAGTGGTAGACAATTCAGTTTATTTTGTGAACATTTAAAATGTCCCCACTTTAATGTTTTTGACCTGTCCTTCTATTATTATGATATGTGGATGGTAGTGGAATTGTTTTTCTTTTTGGGATAATACCGAAGCTCCATTAAAGTCTGAGCACCCCTGCATGCCTTGACATACATTGTCACGGGCACTGTGGGCTATGCCATTGTGTTCATTTCCTCCCCAGACCCAGTTTGGTTCTTGGTACATGCCATTACTTCATTTTCACAAGTTCCCTTGGCTTCAGGTGATCATTTACGCCAGTCTTCTCTCCAACCTGGAGGGGCATTGGGACAGCAACTCTCAGAATTCCCAGCCAGCAGGGCCATGGGCTGGGAATTCTGGGTGTTGAAGTCCAGACGTCTGGAAGGCACAAGGCTGGAGAAGGCTGATTTACAGATTTTCTAGTTGTTGCAGGGCAGGGGAGTCTCGGCCGACAGGTAGGGCTGCTAAGACGATAGAGCTAAGTTGAGGGGCTTACATTTAGCTCTGCATTTGTAAGCCCCTCACCTTTTTGAAGGGCTTAGAAATGCAGCCCCTACATTTGCCTTTTTGGCAAGCAGGTTTCTGACATTATTTGACTCTGAGCTGTTGCAATACCCTTTGCATTTTATTTCGGCAGCTCATTTTCTTTTTGCAAACGTTAGTGAACGGTCCCTCTGTTTATGAAAAAAGCACTATTCATAAAGAGCCTCTTGTTAGAAGCTGTGTCCTCTGAAAGGCTCTTTGCCGAGACCTTCTTCGCAGCCCTCCTCTGTCAGAAGTGATGCCACCCACGCCACCAGCGTCCGGAGGTTCCAGTGAGCGTGCCATCGGCCTGAACAAGAGGACGGGGCAAGTGGGCAGGCCTTTTTCTCACCCAGGCCAAGGAACGGCGTGTTTCTGGCTTGGCTTTTATGAAGAAGTGGGTTAGCAGCCTCACCATACTTGCAACACTTGTGGACAGCTGCTTGATAGTAGAGTATAGGAAGTGTTTTGGGGAAGAAAAGCAGCCCGGAGGCATTTCCAGCGACATGCAGGTGTGCCCCGGCGCCTGCATGCCCCATTTTTGTTCTGTGAAGCCACACAAAAGCAAAGCTGGATTGTGGAGACGCTTAGCAACGCTCTTGCTTTTGCAGTTGCAGGGAAAGAGCAAAAGATGAAGCTCTGTGAAGCCTTTGATGGGCTGCCCATATATTGGGTTGTGGGCCAAATTCATTTTGGGAACTGTGCAGAGATGGCCCAGAAGGATTTCAGAATTGGACGGCATATAAAAACTTTAATTAAATAAATAAAATAAAAAGTTTGATTTAATTTATTTAATTAAAAAAATTAATTTACTTATTAAATAAAGTTTTTTAATTAAATAAATACAATTTCTGAATCAAATGTTACTATATCTGACTCCCACCTAGACATTATATTTCTTCTGTATCCTGTCCTTGGAAACTGTTCACAGGTGTCAGGATAGCTGCCCCACTTCATATTTCTCATACCAGGTCACCCTCCACAGAGAGGTGGTATCCTCCAAGATATCTCTTTACATGGAGGAACAAAGATGAAGGCATTATAGACAAGAGTTAGCATGGTTGCAAAGCAACTCTGGACCAGCAGCTCTCGAGTGAGAATATAATTCCTGGCCAAGATGTGAATGTGAGCTGAAAACTAAAAAGTAAATGGGAAAAAAAAGTCAGTCACATAAAAGCCAGTGTCAAGCCCTAATAATCCCTTCCTGATGAGGAAAAATATAAAAAGCAAAGATCAATGTACTGTTTTTGCACAGTGAGGTTTTAAAAGACATGTGAATAGAGAGCCAGTTGCTGGGAATGGATGAAAAGCAAACCCAGCAGAAGCGAGTACAGCCGGACCGAGGAGACATGAAAGTGCAAAGGCAGAAAGATAAAGGCAAAGCTCTAAATGAAAGACTGATTAGCAAAGGTGTTGTAAGTCCTCGCACAAAAGCCGGTGGATGGCAAATGAAGCACTAGGCCTGCTACTTAAAAGGGAGGAACGAGAAATAATACGATGGCAAAGTGTAGGCTGAAATGCTTAATGGACACTTCTCTTCAATTCTGACTGCACCGCGTCATAATAATGGTGCCGCACTTCTGGTCAGTCAAATGAATCAGGTCAGGCTTCTAGAACTAGTTAATTCTAACTGAGGGCAAAATGAACATACACAGGCAAAATACATTTTTTCTCCTGGTCTATCATTCTCATAATGGGTCTGATTTTTTTAAAAAAATGCACAAAAAAGAAAAGCCTATTTTTCAGGTGCTATTTTATCCATTTTCAGACAGCTTCTTGCACCTAACTACACAAACGGATGCTTTTTGTAGTTTGTGCTTATACACCTGGGAGGTAGAAGCAGACATTGGTAGCATTTGGCATCCAGAGAAACTGGAAGAAAACATCTGAAGGTGCCATGAAATGTGTCATGCACTATATTAGTAATAAATAATAGACTTTGGGGAAATTATCCATAATTCAAACTTGCCCCTTTTTTTAGTTCTCTCTGCAACTTTATTCCCCCCACAAAAAACGTATGAAAAAGACTTTTTGAAAAGAGCAGCAAGCTCCAATCATTCTCAGTATCCTTCACCATTAGTCTTAGTTTTACTTTTCTCTTTGGCTTTTTGGATTGATGAAGCTTTCTTATATCTGAATGCAGGGAAAAAACTGGTAGTTTAATATGCATATTACCACACAGAATTCTTCTGTACATATTACTTTGCGAAAGGTATTTTCATTGACCTTTGCTGGCTCATTCACTTAATGCGCCACAGCCAACAACTCATAAACCTGAATGTGTGAACTAATCCACTATTTGCAAAGACTAGCTGTCTGCTGCTTATTAACTAATAAGGGGAGCCAACCAGTTTGTGGAGGTTTTGTTGTGTAGGTTGTGTGCTCCTAAACCAAAGCACAACTCCCTCAATTCACTGGGGGAAGCCATGTCAGTTACTAAATTCAAACTCATGTCAGATTGTATAGTGGGTAAGCCTTGAGATATAAGATAGTCAAACTCACCTTGAAGAAACATCCAACTATTACATAAGAAGTCAGCTTTCTCTGCCTTCTAGAGTTGCTACTCAGCATGGCCAAGCAGGCTTTGATGCCATTTAAGTGTGAGGGTACGGCAAGCAAAGGTTCACCGGGGAGAACAGCAATGATTACATAAATGCCATATGCCTATCCGTACTTGTGTATTTAATCAGAGGAACTGAGACAGTAACTGGGTTCACATGATCACAGAAGGGAAGGGAAGGGACGCGACAGGATGGGACGTGGCACATCTCCTTCCTACCATTCCACACGTGCAAGCTGTGCACTTTCTCACTTTCATGCATACCTGCACCAGATGCAGGCGGTCATATTGTCCCAACCTGGCAAGAGTGGCTTGGAAACGACTCCCACTGCTCCCCGTGCCGGGTTCGGATGGCATGGCAAGCCACACCTGGCCACCGTGGATTCTTTCTGCCGTCATTATTGGTAGACAATTGATAGACACCATAGTTCACCATTTGGGTTTATTTCTCTAAGGTCTTTTCTTGTAAGAGCAGCGAAATCTGATGATGTATCTGCTGTTGAAGCGCTAATCAAAACCCTGAAATTGCACAAAAGCATACTGGATGACTTGAATAAATACCTGTCAGCACGAAGAGATCCGGTAAGCTGTTGGACTAGTTTAAATTGACTTTGTTCTGTTTGGACTGTGAGATGGTACAAATAAGAACTTGTTTATTTGTATGAGGTTTCAAAGCTTTAAAAGTTGCCGCTGTACTAAAAGACCAAAATGTCCTTTTGCCTTTTATATGCATTTATATCTGATGTATGCAAGAAGGGAAATGAAATTATTGAAATTATATGAAATTATTGTTGTAAGCCGCCCCGAGGCTTCGGCGAATGGGGCGGCATAAAAATGTTTTAATAAATAATAAATAAATAGATGGGAATTATGGTGCAGAATGATCAGTAAAGTATTAATATAAAAGATTGTACATCAACTCTTTTACTTTGCTTTTCAGGATGGGACACCGGTCCAGGCCTATGTAGCAGAAGTTTTGGGACAAATAGTTGGAGTATCAGTTATTAGGAATGAAATGGTAGATATTCATATTTGTAATTGCTTTTCTTTCCATTTTTGATTGGAGAATGCCACACTCTGCTGACAATTTTATTACATTTTCTCCAGAGCAGGAGTGTTTTCACATTCAAATAAACATAAGATCTCCAGTTTGGACATTAACTTGTTTCCACCATGAGAGAGGTAGGAAGACGAGAGCGAGCTTTCTTTCTTCAAACACACCTTTGCATACCCACATGTGTGTGTGTATAAATAAGAGGGAGAAAAAGAAAGAATACAAGGCATGAACAACCCTTGGTCAAAGGGGTGAGGAAAATAAGATTATGAAAAGGGCAACTTTGCATGCCCTAATCATTTATAATTTTTTTCTTTCCCACACTCTTTTCTTCAAAAGAAAATACACTAAATTAAAAGTAATATTTCTTTATATATACATTTAGTATTTTTTTGCCCCCAGTTTCCAACTCTTTTTCAATTAAAGAATGTTTTGCTCCCTTTGTTATTTAATACTGTATAATAAACTTTTCTTCTTGGAAAGAGCCAGCAGTATCCACAAAACGCTGAATGACGCCTTGCCAGTAGCTCCTTGTTAAACTACTCATATTCAACATGGAAGGAAGCCGTGTAGCTCTGAGGGTAGAATGATAGAAAATGCATTAACCTTAGAGCCACATGTGTCGTTCTGAATAAAGCTGAGAGTTCCTGTAGTTCATTAATGAGGATGGATCCCCATTTCATAGCAACTGATCAACTAGGCATTTTAAATATTTTGTATTAATAAGAGAAATATTGCTAAAGCACTTACTGGCACGCTTTCAATGGTAATGTCTTCCCATTAGGTCTTTGGGGGTGGGGGTGGTTAGCCAGGAAGTTGGTGGCTTGTTGGTGGTCGATCATTTTTTCTTGAAAAAACAGCTGTTCCAGGAGAGACGCACACCTCACTGATAATCACCACAGGGCTCTGAAATGTTTTCCAGGATGTTGAATATATTCGCTCACACTACAACATCGAAGACTTTATTTATTTCAGTCACTATCAACAGGAAGAGCATGGGCACCTTTACCATTTTGCTCTGAACCCAATCTTTCATCACTATGCCAAGCATTTTATGAAGGAAATCCTCCGGCTAGCCCACAAATCTTGCCTCTACTATCCCATTTATCCTCAGCCGGAAGAAGGCAAGGTAAAACTGCATAATTGATTCCTATTTTTATGTTTATTGCCTTCCTTAGAGTATATGCAGTTAGTCCACAAAAATGGCGGTCATGCTAGGGAAAGTCAAAGGCGGAAGAAGAAAAGGAAGAGCAAAATAGGACTTGACTCCGTAAAGGAAGCCACAGCCTTGAATTTACAAGAGCTGAGCAGGGCTATTAAGGAAAGGGAATTCAGAGGGTCACCATAAGTTGGAAATGACAACACATAGCAACGACAGCAACAGACACATGCCCTCAAGTACATAAATTACACAGGGAAAGACTACAGAAATTCAGAAAATATTACATGGAAATTAATAAAAGAACTCAGTAGGTAACTGGATATCTTCATCAAGAGTCAATTTGCATGCAGGACCTCAGAAATCCATATAAAATGTAAGAAGAATAAAGATCCAGCTTTTCAATGGCAGCTCAGCAGATCACTTATTAATTCACAAAAGACATTCAGTAAAACTGCAAAGGATAATGTAAAACCAATCTAAAAAGTAGGGAATGCAAGTTCATTGTGTCCCCCTCTAAAATGTAATCCAAATATCAAACTCATTCAAAGTTTTTAAAGCTTGGAAGCCCATCATGCCAAACCCCCTCTGAAGAGTTGCTTGGCTTCTGGAACCTGCAAGGTCGGTCATAAGAATACTCAGCTCCTATTTGAACCTTTTTGGAGCAAGTCAGACGGGGTCTCCCGGGCCATCTAGTCTGACCCCCGGCTCCAGCCGACTCCGGAGCCTTTAGAAAGACATATGTGGAACGTGTGTGTGTGCCCAGTCGGAAAACCAACTCAGCAGTGCTGTATTTGGGTAAGCTTTGGGTTCTCCGCTGGATCAGCCGCAGTCAGTCACATAAATTGCAGGTCTTTAAAAGTGGCTGGCCAGCGGAGTGGCTAGAAGTGTGAGCTGGGGTCCCTGGTTCTAGCCTTGCCCCAAGGATGGACCTCCTGGCCAGGCTTATATCCACAAGCAAGGACCCTCAGGCTTGCTCATCCCCGCCTCTTGCCCCGCCCCCTGGCTGGGAGGAATTTGGAACCTCCTGCTTCTGACCAACCACAGCTTGCCATTGTTCAGGCCAAGCTTGCTTGCTTTAAACCAGACAGCCTCCATATCTGTGGTTTGGGGTTGGCTTGTTCCGAAACTAGCCCTAATTCATCTTAAGAGCTGTTTGTGGGCCCAGTTGACACGGCAAGCCAAAGTTAAGCAAAAGCGGAAACGAAAACTTCCTAACTGCCCCTCCCGTCAACGCGAGAGGAGGTGCAAGCTGGAATGAGTGGACTTGAATTAATTCATGAACTCATACAGTTGTCGTTATCACCACGTACCAGCTGCTCCATTTGACATGCCATAAAAATACCAGAAAACGCTTCACATCATAGAAGAAAAAACACAGGAAATAACCACGAACAATCAAAATCTAAGCGAGATCAAATAACATCAAGCAACATTAAAACCTTGATGGAACAAACAAACAATCTTTAGTTGTCATTAAAACAGTAACAAGAAACAACTTTGGTATCTGGGGTTTGGAGTTGGCTTGGTCTGAAATGAGCCATAATCATTCCGCCTAAGGAAGATTAGGGGAAGAAAGCCCAGGCTGGGGGTGCCCCTACCAAACACGCCCTGCCTTGCATACCTGCCAGCCTCCCATCGAACAGGACTTCCGGTGATGATGGCTAATTACAGGCAGGTTTTTAGCAAGCTGTTCTCCTCTCAGTCCCATTTCTCTGTGCAGTGTGGAAGTCACAGTGAACTGTCAGGGATATTTTGGCATAAAGCTTCAGTGAGTATTTTGAACAGTTGCAGCACGTCCTAGGAATACTTGCCATCAGAATTTTTGTAACAGATCAAGGCCACCCTTCCACAGAAATCCCAAGGGCCTGCCACAAAAGCACACATGGTTACCATAGTCTGTATCGTAGCTGTAGGGTAGAGTTCTGTCCGTGAGTCATCTAAAGCCCAGACAAGTAGGTTTTACTTAATAAAATCGCAGCATCAGAAAAGATTCAGTGGGTCGTTTAGCGTAACTTCCATTGACCTGCCCTGATTAGCAAACCGCTTCTCGAAAGTGTATTTCACACAGTTTCTTCTCGATTTAGTCAATTCCTAGGCCCAACTTTCAATATGCATATTAAGAGCGTTGTATATAGGATGTAACCTTTCAGAATTCATTCAGGCCTTTTGACGCAATAACAAGCCCTTACTAAGAGTAAGCAGGTAGATTCAGCCTCGGATTTATAAGCGAATGCTTAAAACGAGGTGACCCAAGGCGTGCAACTTACTTTAGCCAAAGTTATAGTTATAACAATAGGAATTGCTGGGAAACCTCCAACCAAATAAAGCGTGCATTATCACATTAATACTTTAACACATTACGTCCAACGTTCTAATATTTAAATTTGTGGGAAAGACCTGTTGAAATCCATATTTCAGTAAATGTTGCATTCTTTTATAAATATCAGTTTGAGGAATACTTAAGGAATAATTGTTGGGTGCTCAGCAAACCTTATTCCCAGGACTTTGTGGAAATAGGGACACCCATGTTCCATCTTGTTCTGGCAAATCGTGTAAGCCCAGGAGCTCAGTGAGCCAGGTAAATGCATAAGCATCCTTCCCACAAAGGAGGTGGCTGGATCCAAAAGCCTCACACGCAGCCATGAGTGTATCCACTGACATGCGGATGGAATGGGGAAGAATGTGCCAGGAATAAGAACGCATTAGCAATATTTATTTATTTCCTGCACGACAGGAAATTCAGTTTGTTTGTTTTAGGTCTCGTTATTTCTGTATTAACAGCAATTTAATCCATTTTTAATGCAACACAGACTTTTGGAAGCATTTTAGAATTTTTCCTTTTGCATTACTCCTCATTTCCTGTCGCTCTCCGGTTGGTTACATGCAAGCTATAACTGAACTTGTAATGGTAAAATAAAGCTGTTTTAATTATTTTTTATTTATGAAAACAGCAGGATTTTTTCTTTGCATTTGTGCAATTTTGTTGCCGTTTTCATTTGGATAAATGTTGCATTTTACTGCATACCCATTTTCTATAAACATTTTTAACCCCTCTTTTACCAAAGAACTGGAGGTGAACAGTAAGCATGTAGCATTGTTTAATTCGATGAAGGTAATTCATGACGGCAGCAGAGGAAAATATCCTCTCGGGGAAGCTACTTGTGCTGCAAAATCCCATAAACCAAGTCACTTGTTTATCTGTCATTCCCACTGAGATAGTAATATAATTACTCTCATAATTATCTTCATTAGTGTCGGGAATTAGCTGCAATCCATTCCTCTGCTCCAGGAGCGCTTGTTTTTTGGGAGGTGATATTTCTTTTGGATTTAATCGGGATAAAGGATTCTTATATTCACAAAGCACTCTTAAAGACAGCTGTGGTGCACTTTTCTGACATTCTCTGTGCTAAAAAATGGCTTGTTTTCCTTCAGTTCCAGAATCCCTGTGCCCATTCCCTGACATCTGCCCTTTATTACATGGTTCCCGTGCGACCAAGACGACAGATTGTCTATCCTCTGGAAAAACTTGGCATAAATGCGCCATCAAAAGAGGTCTCCAAGGATCAGGTGGGTAACAGAAGCAGCACCAAGCACAAGGCACAGCCTCAGCTAAATGTAAGCTTTGGCAGATGGGGTGACATTACTGTCTTAATGTTGGCGGACTGCTCCTTAATTACCTTGAACCTGATGTTCTTGCCCTTACTGTGTCGCGCTCGGCTGTATCATTTTCTAAGCATGCATTTCAAAGTGAGGATTACAACCAGCAGCCTTTGAGTTGTTCAGAATTAGAGAGATCATGATTCCAGAATTTAAAATAGCCAGATTCTCATTAGGGGTGTTTTATTGGGCTAGTTCATCCAGAGTTTGATCCTTCACGGGGAGGCAAATTTCCCGGACCGAGGCTTGTACTTTCCCCATGCCTTTCCCTTGTCCAGAGAGAAGATCTACAGCAGGGAAAAAATGGTGTCTCACTGAGGTCAATAAAAACCTCAAAATCAAAATGAGAGCTCACCTCAGTAGCATCCCGCTTCCCAGTGTCCAAGCAAAGCCCTCTGGGAAAGCCACATGACTCTCCCACAGATTCCCAGCGGATTCCTCCGAGGTTCCATTTCATGATCATGGCCATTAGCTTTTGGTGGTCCAATCTTCCATGACATTTCCTGCTCCCTTATTAACCCTGGCCCCCAACAGGTGGGGTGTGTATTGATGTGCTCTGAGGATGATAATATAGAATGCATAGAGTAGAAAAGACATCTGTTGTTTCACATGCAGGACTAAACTGGAATCTCTTTACAGCAAGGGTGAGGAACCTCAGGTCCAGGGGCCAAATCCAGCTCTCCTGGCATTCCATTCTGGCTCTCTGCACATTCCCAGATGTCCATGTCCTCTTCCCCAGTCACCACTTGTTTGCTAATCTTGTGGCTTCTGTGTAATTTCTCCCCCCCATTCTGACTGGTTGGAATCCCCCCCCATGTTTCTGAATAAGGACTTTAGGGTGCAGTCCAGTGACTGCTAGACTTTGTCCGAAGGGCATAGAATATCAGGGATTTGCCACTGCAAGGCTGTGCATAGAGCGGCAGTGTCGATAAAAATGCCCCTTTGGCTCTTAGACCCTCCTCCCCTCCCAGCTGTTCCGTCAGGTTCTGCGCGTCTTCTCCTCAACCCCAGATGTGGGCAGAGAGAGTGAAGGGAGGGGAGAATATGCCTTCAAGGCCTGTCCAGTGGGAAAACATTTAAGGGGGAGGGCGGGCAGAGAGGTGAACATCCTGCTGGCAGAATTCTGGCACAGGAGTCTGCAAAGCCCCCAGAGTGAGTGGCTGGCGATCTGCTAGGGTCATGGCCGACATTTCATTATTCTGGGGTGGGTCTTCTGTATGTTTAACGGCACTCTTTTTCTCCTTGTCTTACCAACCTTTGATCTTGGCCCTGCTCACCATTGGAATCTCTGAAGAGTATCTCTGAATCGGGCCCATTGACTGAAGGACCTTCTCTACCCTGCCTTTACACAGTTGCCCAATTTAGGGTGCTCCCTCCATTGTGTCTTGTAAATGCAGAAGAGACGATCTAAGCATGGATGGGGATCTTAAAGGGGCCTCATATTTGCAACTGCGCTCCTTTACATTTCACTCAGATTGATTGATTGATTGACTGATTGATTTCTCAGCTATTCTATTGATGACAATGAGGCATGTTGGGTTTTTGAAAACACAAAATGCATTTCCGTGTGTGTGTGTGTGTGTGTGTGTGTGTGTGTATTCCCATGTGAAGTTTTAAAAATGCCAAGATACATTTCAACACTGACGCCTGTCTGTTTGCAAATTGTTTAGGGATGTATACGAAGTGAATGCTTGGGCTTGCTTTATGATAAATTGTGCCTAAGTTTGTATATCATTTTAATGCAATATATTAGTTGCTTTCTAGACCCTTGGTTGCACTAATCCCAAGTAACTAAAAGGTTTCAGTGTCTTTCTCAGCCATATGGACCATGTTTCTAAATTCCTTCTGTTATCTCTTGGGACCTTTTTTCTGCTACTGTTCCCCACTGTCTACATGGCAAATTCTTCCCCATATTTGCTTGCTCTCTTCTTTTTCATTTCTCTCTTTCCACTCCTATATGTTGAGTGCATCATCACATTAAATTTTTTTTACTCTTATTTTCCAGTGCTCGCATTCTTCGTCTGAGAAGAATCCTCCATTACATAAAAGCAGCTTTAGCACCCCATTCCATTTTCTATTTATCTGCATTAAACAGTTTATGACATTTCTAGTTTCTTGTTTCTTTTTTGCAAATTCACCTTTTCTGCTCAATTCGGGATCTTTATGATTTGTCCTTTTTATGTGGATACTTCTCATGGCCCCTTAGAACAACAGGCAAGAATATAAATAAATAATATTTCAGTAACTACCCCCCCCCCACACACACACAGTTCCATCTGCTCTTCTGCTCTTTTCCACCTTTCTTCTGAGGAATCTTACCTCCTGCTTCCCGGCTTGCTCTTTCTCCTCCCCTTGCCGGATCCACCATCACGTAACTCCGACACTACCCCTTTCAACAGGGATTGCACACTCATGCTGTTCCCATCCACCTCAGGAAAACTTGCCCAGTAGAATCTTTCAAAGAAGCTTGAGGAAAGCCATGCTGGAATAGACCAGTGATCACCCAGCCCCGCACTCTTCTCTCCTGGTGGCAAGCCGGCTGCTTGCAGGATCCCTCCAGCAGGATGGGTGCCATCCACCAGGATGGCCACTGGCACTTGCAGGCCTCTGGTGAAGAAGAGAGCCCTTGGCCAGCAAGGCTAGGAGCCACTGAGGGTGTTCCCTGGGAATTATTTGTCTGATTCCCTTTTAATTCAGGGCCATCCCTACTCTCTCTGCAGTGATCCCACAGTTTAACTCTGCATTGCATGAAGAAGGACTTCCTTTTATCTGTCCTGAATCACTCACCAGTTTGCTTCATGGGATGACTCCTGGTTCTAGCGTTACGGGAAAGGAAGACTAAATGTCTCCTTTTGCACTTTTTCCAGACCATGCATACTTTTATACACCTCTATCACGTCTCTCTTTACTCGCCTTTTTTCTAAGTTAAATAATCCTAGTTGTTGTGAGCATTCCCTGGAGGAGAGCTGTTCCAATGCCTTGATCATTTTAGTTGACTGTCTCTGCACTTTTTCCGACTCAACGGTGCCATTTTTCAAGGATGGTGCCCAGAACTGTGCACAATATTCTAAGTGTAGTTATACCAATGCTTTGTATAAGGGTATAAGTTGCATATGAAGCTCTGTATATATGGCTCCCAAATCTCCATTTCCTAACATGAAATCAGGTTGCTGTCCAGATGTCTCACCCTAATTTCATCCCAAATTCTCCCTCCTATTTCTCTTCACTCACCTTCCACATTTTGCCCCATTTCTCACTTTCTTGCCATCACACCCTGTTCTCCGTGGCCATACAAATCCGCATTCCATCTCCGTCCATCATTCCACATGCCCATTGCTTCTGGGAACTGCCATTGTAGGAAGTTTAATTAGCACTAAACAAACAACTGTATATCTCCATCTTCTTACGGCTTTTCCTGTCCCCAAACATTTTATAAAAGATGCAGCAGATGTGATGAATGCCTTACTATGTCGCACCTATTTTTGATAGAAAATTCCAGAGTGTGGTATGAAAAAAGGGTTTTCTATGGTAATATGTCATCGTTCAAATTATTACTATGCTCCGCTTATTGTTTAGGAACATCCCTGATATTTCTTTCTTTTTAGTAGGTGATTGTTTCTCAGTTTTTTTGGTCTTTGCTTCTTTCTGGTGCAGTCAGTTTCTTTCTTTCTGGTGCAGTAGTTTGTTACTCTATGCAGGGTTTCTGGCAAGTCACTGATGGTAAGTGATGTGTATGTACAGAATGTTCACAAATATTTCCGTGAATATTTTCACCTTGCCAGAAAGTGACTTCACATGTTTTGAACACTAATCTATAAAAGCGGATATGCATATTCTTAGGGAAAGTCATCTGAAGGTTGGGATATAAACCTTATACATTGGTGAATAACACATAAATATGAAAATTAAATGCCAAGTTATTAGTTTGGAGTCTAACGAGTATAAATAGTTTGTTGTTGTACATAAAGGGGACCACTTGTCATCATTCCCCATTCAAATTCCAACCAGATTGCTACTGCAAGTTGTGCCAAGTTTTTGTTCATATTTCCTCCATCTGTGCAATTGGCTTAATTATACAACTGAGTACTTTTTTCTTTTCTTTCTCATGAATTAGCAATAACTGTTTGGAAACTGGTTGTAATATTTAGAATGCTTATCTGCAAGTACAAATGTTTGGTTTTTGCTCCAAAAAACCCTAAGATATTTGTTGGACCTCAATTCAGAGAGTTTCAGCTCTTGAGCAGTATGGAATGCAAATAAATTATATGTATTATATTCCAGTAAACTAAAAATTTGTTAACGGCTCCTTCCTCTGCCTCGACCATGGCCATTTCACAATCAGATGCAATCTAGGCTTGAGTCAGAAAGAAAAGCTGATCTTGAGAAACTTCCACATTGTTTTGAAGATCCTAAGGGAGACATAATATTTTAGAAGTGGATAAGGTGCCCACAGTTCCCTGAATTTATTTATTTATTTGTGAAATTTATATGCCGTCCTATTGCAAAAGCCTCAGGACAGCTTACATAACAAAATACAAATATCAATATCAATAAATTATAACAAAGTGTCAACAACATAAACAAGTGAGGAGCAATCCAACCAGGTTGCTCATAATCCTCCAGACATGGATGGCCTCCTGTGGAGATGGGAGGGAGGGGAAGGCCACCACTGTGTCCCTTCCATCCTGCAGCGAATTTTGATCTTGGCCAGCCTGCGGGGGCACTCGGGGGCAGGATGGAAGGTGGCTGAAGGCCCGCCAAGAAACCCTGTCCCTCAGCAGTGCCGTTCTCCTCCTCTTCCTGCCACCTGCGCCCGACTGATGTGGTTCTTTCTGTGCCGCAGGCCGGACTGGGGGAACTCGCCGTGCAGAGACCCAACTGTGGGCTTGGAACAGTTTCCCACTTTCTTA